CTGGATTAAGAAACTGTGGTACATTTATACAATGGAGTATTACTCCACCATAAAGAAGAATGAAATCATATCATTTGCAATGATATGGATGGACCTAGAGACTATTATGTTAAGTGAAATAAGTCAGTCGGAGAAAGACAAATACCACATGATCTCACTTATATGTGGAATCTAAAAAACTGAATGAACGAGCAAAGTAAACACTTTCGACTTTATCTACTTATTTTTATTTTATAACCAATATGTATTACTTTTGAAATTAAGAAATTTCCCCTGAAATACTTTGAAAAAATATGCTATAGATTTAATAATCAATGCCTGAATAACTAAAGCAATGTAGTATTAGGGCAAATTTTCAGTTATAACAGCCACTATTTTATCTAATTTAATTCCACATTTACTAAGCACCTAAGTACAAGAGACTGTGCTAGCCTCTGATTAATAGCAAGATGAGGTTCCTATTCTTTAAGGAGTTTAAAACCAGTGAGGAAGAGCCAGCAAGGAGGCAAAAATATCTATAATACAATATGGAACATGAAAATGGTCATCTTCTGCATCAAAATTTGAGAACTAATGTTTAAAATTCCAATTTCTAGTTAGTACCATCAGATCCCCAAACCAGTCAGACATTACTTTACATTTTCCATTACTTCTTTTTTTTAGCTCATCCATCTATAAACCATTTGTGACAATGATTGCATTTATTCATTAGCGGCAAACTATGATGTTATACATACAGTTATTAATATATACTTTCCATAGCCTTTGTAATCTCATTGCACAAATGAATTCTCGGTTGTTTTCTTCCTTTGCTTTTTATACCTGTTAATATCACCACATATATCAATATTACTAATCAAAAATAACTGAATCCTCCCCTCCCATATTTCTGTACCTACAAATTTGAAAATTAAATAGTAATACAGGTTGTGATGGATCCAAAATTCTTCCCCATCTCCAGTCATACCCACAACAGTCAGAGACTGGCAAAAAAGATTAAGGCACAGCAGAATTTCTTCTTTTACTAAGAACACAAATACTGAGAAAAGTGGAATCCTTCCTTAAAAATTTACTGAACATGGGATTTACAAACTTCTATGGCAGTTAGAATAACAACCCCAAAATCAACACATCTCCAATCGTCAGCAACCTAAAAGGATTTTAAGAAATATCAAAACCTGAGAAAAGTTAAATATATTTTGTTCATTTCAAGATAATCCAACTTTGCCCACAAACAACAATGATGTAATCTGTTAATGATTTTGAATTCTAAAAAGGTTCCAGAGGCAGCCTTTTTACCTGCACTGCAGGCTAACATCACCTGTGTCTTTCCAGGCAGTAGATTACGTGTGTAGCCCAGAAAAATTATTCTATCCAACCCAAAGAATTGTACAAATTTCAGAATAATCACAGAGCCACAATACTGTTTACTGTTCATTCTTGCCCTTTATGAAATTGAACATAGAAACCGCTGGCACATACAAGGCAATAATTTTGCATTTCAGATAGAAATTAATAAATATTTAAATACTTTTTATCAACTCATGGAGAGTTGCCAAGCTGGGGGAAAAAAATAAGTATCTATAAAATGTCAGTAAAGACAAGTTCTATGAGATTAGCATGTGAACTCTCTACAGGCCAGATGTCCTAAACCTGCATGAGTACCTTCAAACAAACTCACTGACATAATTCCGCTCCTGCACTGAAGCATCGCCATTAGATCAGATTTGCCTCTCATCCACATCAACCTGATAATAACCACTGTCGTTCCAAAATTCAGGAAACAATATTATTTCTTACCTTCATGATTTTTGAGGATCTCCTAAAAGCTAAACTAGTCTAAGAAGTAAAAATGTCTAAATATCAGTAAAAGATTATTTCAAACTCCTTCTCCTCTATGTTTTGAAATACATTTTACATTTTTCATTGTAAGTTTTAAAAGAAAAATAAACAGAGGCCCAAATAAGAATGGCATATTAAATAAAAAATATAAAACAATATTAAACAAAAGTACCAAGAAGAATGTTATTTATAGAGGCAGTAGAAAAGTGTTGAGTGGTCAGGATTGGTTCCAGCATGCCTACCTTACTATATGTGTAATCCTGAACAAGCTTTTAAAAACCCTGTACCCCACTTTCCTCTTCCGTACAATCTGAATAATAACCTCAGAGTTGTTGAAGATCACTGAGTTACACCACATAAAGCAGTTAACATTTAACCACAATTTATAAAGTAGATGGATAAAAATCCAAAGTTTTAATAACACTCTGTTTGGGAAGGCTGTTGGAAAACAGGGAGTTTCATACTCTCCTTATGGAGGGCAATCTGGAAAGCTACTTTTGAGAAATTATCCCATTGATATTCTTGCACAGGTGTAAAAAGACAGGTTTACCAGGTTTTTTAATTCACACTGGAAACCAGCTGTCCATCAAAAGTAATGATTAAATAAAGAATGGCAAATTCATGACATGAAATACTATGTAGCAGTTTTGATTTTTTAAATAGAGTACACTGATATACTGACATGGAAAGACCTCTTAGGTAAGTGAAAAATGCAGATGTGTAGAAAAGTGAATATGGTATGTTACCTTTTGCATAAAAGACTGAAAAATCAAAATACCTATTCGTCCTTGTTGGTTTTTAAACTAAGAGAAACTAACAATGGTGGTAAGAAACTGGGCAGATGGGAGGCAAGATGGGAGGGAAACTTCAAACTGTGTGTGTTTTTTTTATTTTTATATTTTTTGGGGTTTTTTAGCTATATGAATATTTTGCCTATTCAAATATTAATTTTAGAAGTATTTTTAAGTGTCAATCTTACACTTTACAATCTCAAATATTAGCTGCAGTTATTACTGTTGTTGTGAGGAGGAGGAGGACGAGGAGGAGGGAGAGGAGGAGGAGGAGAAGGAACAGCAACCTCAAAATACCTCCTTTCTGCAGCCTTTCTCTTATTCCCTCTGCACAGAAGCCTCCTCTAACTCCTGGACTGTTAAGGAATTTATCATTTTCTACTCTAGTGTAAGCAGCTTAAGAGGTAGGTCAATGTCTTGTTCATTTTTAATATCCTAGAAACCTTGCTTGCACCTACTAGTTACAAACATTCTGGAGTAACAGTAACCTACAAGTACTCCGAATAAGGAAATAGTGACCATTTCTAAAGGGATTATATTCTATAATTGTAAGACCTAAAATTTGAAAAACTTGAATAACTGGATTTGCTGACATTCTTTCCACTACTACCCAGCTAAAATCTCCTCTCTTTCACTAAGTTTTTTTTCTTTTCCCAGGACTTCCCTAGACATGGACATCTCGTCCCAAGCCAAGACACCATAGGTACCAACACTTTAACTCACTGCAACCTCTGACATGTCTTTTGTCCTAAGTCCCAACACCCTGGTACATCGCTCCTATTGAAAAAAGCAATTGTTGAGTGTCTCCTTTTAAAAAGATGTCACATATTAGTCAGTGAATAAGGCGCCCTTATAACTGGAAAAGAGCTAACACTTGATTCCTAATTCGCTCGGTGTTTTGTTTGTTCTTGTGGTATGGAGGGTATTCTATAACTGACTGGTAAGTAGCCCAATTCTAGATGTCATAGGGGCACACCAAATACTCCACTGACAGCTCAACAGGCACTTTTCATGCAGGCCCCTCCCCTCCCCTCCTCCTTCAATCTCCGTAAGATCAAAAGCTCCTTCCCCTGTACTGAGTGAGACACACAGACAGTGCACAAGTCCTTTTCCCCAAACTGTCCTCCCCTGCAGTTGCGAGACCACCTCCCCGACTCTCATTATCCCGCAACCCAGCTTGGTCCCCAATACCATCCTCCCAGCCAATCCAAATCATAATCACCATTTCTTCCCAAGAACCAAGCTGCTTTACAGCCTTTCCCAACCAGTACACAACTGACAGCTCGACAACAGATTCCCCAAGTAGCCTTTCCCTTTCCCTCCCCTGCTACACCACGCACTGGCTCTTTTCTCGCTATCACTCAACTCGCCCTAGCTTCCCGCAAATTCACAGCCGCACTCCCTCAACACGCTCTCCGCTCTCCCCTCCTCCCCATCCCCTTTCCACCGCTGACAGCTCAGACACCTCCAACCCCACGTGTCTGCGCCCTCCCCCACTCCTCTCCCTTGACAGCTCAGGATCGGCTCCCAGGTCCCCATTCCCGTCTCCCCCAGACCCCAGCCTGGGCCGCCCGCGATGCCCCCCGGCCCCGGGGGGAAGGCGCCACTCACCCACTTTCCCGCATCACGTTGCTGTCCCCGCAGTCACAGGCGCCCCCGGCCTGGCTGCGGAACATATTGAAGTCGTGTCCGGTGTGATCGCCCTGGTGGAAGCACTCCGCGCACAGCGACATGCAGGGGGAGATGCCGCACGTCCGGCAGCGGTAGGCCACGAAGTTGGCTGTCCAGACCAGGCCGCAGAGCGCCGCGGGGTCATAGGCCCGCACCGCCGCGCAGAACTCATCGTAGCCGCCGCCGCCAGCCAGAAGGCACTTACACCACTCCAGGGCCTCCTCCTCTGCCGCCCCCGGACCGCCTCCGCTGCCGGCCGCCGCCGCCTCCTCGCTGTCCGCAGCCGCAGCCAGCGGCCGCTCAGCGCTCAGCACCCGCTCCAGCAACGCCTGCAGCTCCTCAGCACCTGCCCGGTTGTCCGGCCGGCTAAGGGCCTCCTTCAGGTGCGCGGCCGTGGCCGCCTTGTCCAGGGCCAGGCCGGGCGCGGGCACCTCAGGTTGGGGCGGCTGCGGCCCCCCGCCGGCCGCCGCGGCTGCCGCCGCCGCCATGATGAGAGCTCAGAATTTGGAGAGCCCAGAGCTGGCGGCTCCTCCCGGGAGGGTGGGGGAATTGACTGCTGCGATTGCTCGGCCCGCCCAAGTCTCGCGATACCCCGGAGCTGCCGCGCACCTCTGCCTACGACTCTGCTTCTGCACACGCCCCCTCCGGCTGCTGGTGCTTGCTCCGTCTGCACACGCCCCTTCTCGCCTGGGACACCGCTCTGTTCCTTCCCATCACCTCTTGGCTCTCAAAGTTAATAGCTACTGAAATAAGGGACTCACCTTAAAAAAAAAATTGTTTTAGTATGGAAAATATTTAATATAGACAATGGTTTTTGTTTTTTTAATTTACCTGGATTATAGGAATTATACACAGCATCTTTCAGATGCATTTTAGGCATCAGCATTTTATTTTGAGATATAAAATCCTACTGTTATCAAACCCTTAATTATTATTGAATTACTATTATTATTGAAGCAGCCTCCTAATTCCCCCCCCCCCCGAATCAGTTCTTACCCTCACACTATTACCAGGTTAATCATTCTTCCATTCAAACACTTTAGTTGAAACAAAAGAGAAACAACTTAAATCCCTCAAAACTCAACCTATCTTTTCTATCCTTATCTCCTGACGCTGCTCCAAGTTTTACATATGAAAGAGACTAATGGACTGTCCACTGTTTTCTAAAGATGCTTTTTTTTTTTGATGGTCAGCATTTTTTTTATTAGTTTCAGGTGTACAAAATGATGTAATAGTTAAACATTTACACCCCTCACAAAGTGATAACCCCTCTCCCCCAATCTACTACCCCTCTGATATCGTATATAGCTGTTATAGTTCCATTGACTCTATTCCCTATTCTGTATTCTACATTCCATGACATGTATTGTATATTGGGTTGTCGGAAAAGTCATGACTAATTTTTGCAACGAAAAGAAGAAAAAATACATCATGACTTTTCCGACAACCCAATATGTGTGTGTTGACATTCAATATTACTGAAGACGCTTTTTTATTTCCTACCTCTGGATCTTTTTTGTTGGTAGTTCCCACCCTACTCCACCCCACACCCCAATTTTAGCAATGTCTTCCCATGTCATTGCTTTTCTTAAAAAAAAAAAAAAAAGACCCTGAACTTATTTGATGATGTAACTTGACTTCATTGTAAAAATCTCATCTGCACCCCACTGCTAATTGGTACATTTCTCCAAGGCAAAGAGTGAACCTTCTTCATCATTGCCCTTAAGTGCTCAAATTTGTCTGATTATTGTTGTTAAATGGAAAAATTACAATAAATAACATTTGTTGCATATTTATTTGGGGCCCTACTTTTTATATATGTTATTTCTCTTAATCTTCTCAAAAATCCTGTAAAGTAAGTACTATTATTAGAGGAAATTTAAACTTAGGGAGGTGATTTATGTGCCCCAAAACACACAAAAAGCAATTAAATAAAATGCGACTAAAACCCAGGTGTATTTGATTCCAAAGCCCTGCTCTTTCTGCCGCACCAATGCTTTGCAAACTTGCCTGATCCTAAGAATAACCTGAAGCTCTACTCACAAAAACAGATCCTCAGGCCCCATTTCAGACCTAAGGAATCCCAATCTCCAGAGTGTTATATACTGCCCTATCTAGCAAAATCTGAATCTTGAAAGAGATTATCAATAATGATCCTTCCAGAACTAAAAATCTACAGATTATTAAGTTTCCATAGCTCACCTCCAGAGAGCTGAATAAATTATACAAATACTTAGTAACACATGACAGAAGATAAACAAGAATGAAAAAGAAGTAGGAAAAGCAATCCAAGGAAGTAGGATAAGAATATTTCTAATCCATAACCCAGTGTTATAAATTAATTGCACATAACTAAAACATACTATTTCACATGTCCTGATCCTCTACAACAGCGGTTCTCAACCTGTGGGGCGCGACCCCTTTGGGGGTCAAACGACCCTTTCACAGGGGTCCCTAAGACCATTGGTAAACAAAAAGATATTTACATTACAATTCATAACAGTAGCAAAATTATAGTTATAGAATAGCAACGAAAATAATTTAATGGATGTGGATCACCACAACATGAGGAACTGTATTAAGGGCTCGCGGCATTAGGAAGGTTGAGAACCGCTGCTCTACAAGAAAGTATTTCACAATCATTGTTTAACAGTGGTAAGTAATTCAAAAGTTGCTCCTTAATTCTCTTAATAAGTCACCAAATTATAAACAAATAAAATCCAGGAACATTTAAAACTTAGGTAGTACTAGTGTGTATTCAATAATCAGTGTCTGTGGTTTAAGGCAGTTGGGGAAGTGTACTAGTTATCTCTCCCGGATTGCTTTCCTGTAAAAATAACGAGGGTGCCTGCTCTGCTTAACCATGATGACACATGCTGGAAACGCAGCTTTTTCAGCATCTCCACACACTCCTAAATTTCTACAAATTTCTACAAAATTTCCCCATTGACAAGTGCCTCTTTAGTTCTATAACAACAACAAAAAACTATTTTAAATACTTCCCCCTATTTTAGTTACATAGATATTGCAGTACATGTACAGAAGCCTGGACATTTGCCAGATTTTCCACTTATTCTAATCATTATGGTATCAGACCTGTTCAAAATCAGAGAATCATTAAAATAACCGGTAATAATAATAATATAAAAAACCCAACTGAAGTTTGGCAAAAAGTGTGAATAAACACTTTACCAAAAAAGATATATAAGGGCCGGCCAAGTGGCGCACTGGTTAAGAGTTGGCTTGGGACGCCAGCTCTGAGCAGCAGGGCCCCGGTTCAGATGCCACATGAGGCCCAGTGACGCTGAACCCTCTACAGCTAAGATGGTGAACAACAGCTCAACCTGGAGCTGGGCTGTCGTGAGTTGCCGGTGACAGCGTAGGCTGCAGCCCCTGTTGCAGTGGGCTGCCGTGAGCTGCCGTGAGCTACCGTGAGTGGCCAGCAACCAGCGTAACTGGCCAGCAGCCGCCGTGAGCAGCCGTCCAATGGGCGGCGACTGATCTGCCTCACCTGGGAAGAGCGCAAAGATAATACCAACATGGGCCAGTGAAGCGACATCCTCCACAACTAGACTGAAGAACAAAAGCAACTTGTCTGTTCCCCTTCCCCGATTCCCCAACACTGTTCCCCTCCCCCAATTTCCCAATAAAATCTTTAAAAAAAAAGACATATAAATGGCTAACAGAAATAGAAAAGATGCTTAGCATTATTAATCATTAAGGAAATGCAAATTAAAACTATGAGATACCACTATGCACACCCACTAGAATGGCAATAATCAAAAAGGCAGATAATGACAAATGTTGGCAAGGATATGGAGAAAAAAAACCTTCATACTTCACTGATGGGAATGTAAAATAGTACAGCATCTTGGGAAAACAGTTTGGCAGTTACTTAAAAAGTTAAACTTAAAGTTACCATAGAGCCCTGCAATTCCACTCCTAGGAATCTACCCGAGAGAATTTATAATATATATCTACACAAAGACTTATAGGTAAATATTCATAACAATATTATTTATAATAGCAAAAAAACTAGAAACAATCTAAAAGTCTATCAATTCATAAATGGATAAACAAAATGTGTCATAGTCATATAATGGTATACTATTTAACAATAAAAGGGAAGAGGGACAGATACATACTACAATGTAGATGAACTTCAAAAACCAATGAAAGAAGTCACAAACCAAAAGAAATGCATATTGTGTGAGTCTATTTATGAACTGTCCAGAAAAGGCAAATCTATAGAGCAAATAGGTTAGCTGTTGAGTAATCTACTGGGGGTAAGAACAGAAATGACTGCAACTAGGTACAAATAATCTTTTTAGGATAATAGGAATGTTCTAAATTTGGATTGTGGTGATGACTGAACAACTACATAAATTTACTAAAAATCATTGAACTCCATTCTAGAAAGCAGGTGGATTTTATGGTATGAAATTATACTTCAATAAAACAGTTCGTTATAATTATTAGTAGTATTGTTTGAGATGAACAAAATAGTCAAGTTTCTGCCTGGGTGGCAACCATTTTACTGCCTTAGCTTTCAAAATCAATATGAGAGGCTCTCAAATCTTTGGTTCTCCTTGAGTGTCTGGGGCTTCTATCATTTGGATCCAGAAAGTCTGACATTTTTCTCTTTCAATATGTTAGTATAATATAAAAACTCTTCTTCTAAGTTACTTCTCAAATCATTGTGCTGTGTCATAGAAATTCCTACAATGATCATATTTCCACGATGGAAAGCCACATTGAAATTCAGCTGAAAACTCTGCACTCACTTAAATGTTATACTACATAACATTACATTTATGCAAACTACTGTTACTCTACTGAAGACATTGCATAAATAATGCCACATACTATGGTTACAGAAAACTACAAAATAGCATCTAAAAAGCTATGTGTTTTTACGTATTCCATCTTAATTAATGAGAAGAAGAATCTTGTGGTATTTTTAAATTGGCTTTTCAAATTAAAACAAACCACACAGATAAAGTAAAAGGTATCAATAACTGATAGATAACATCATTGCTTCCAAAATTAAAGTAGACATCCTTAACAGAGAACTTATAAATTCATGTAAATAACTTAAAAATTGTTTTTGTATTTATCAGGACTTTCTTGGTTCCAAGAAATAAAAACCCAACTTGGACTAGCTTAAACCAAAAAGAGGACCATATTAAATCATATAAACAATGGCAGGAAGGGGGAGATGAACCTTGAGGCATCTCCAGCTTTGCTTTCAGTGAGCATCAACTCTATTGTCTCCAACAGCTTCTGTGCATGGGCCTCGCCCAACCCTAGCTCACAGCACATCTCCACGACTTCATAACAGAAAAAGGGGCTCTTTTCTGTCAGATTCATTTAAAACCCTGGAGAAGAACTCTGACCCAACTTGTGGCCCATGCCACTCTTATTACCAGAAGGTAGAGGTGGCCATACCTACTATAAACATACGAGTTGCCTACAACATTATTAACTTCTTAATTTCAGCAGGGCCTCCAAATAAACACCAGATTTTCTCTGCGCAGAGCAAATTCACCGGTTCTAATGGCCGCTATTGAAATTCACACCATAAGAATTGTGCTTACTGTGCACAAGGAATTATTCCAAGTGGTCACATTTAAGATTCACAACAACCCTGAGAGATAATTATCATTATCCCCATTTCACAAGTAGCAGTGATACCCTTCATTTCACATCCTTCAAAACATAAGAACAATCCCTGGAAGAAAAATCATTCACTGTTCTTGCATGTGCCTTTTTTTCTCCCTTCTCTCCTCTCTCCTTTCCTCCTTTCCCTCCTTCCTCCCTTAGTAACTACTTTGCAACTATACTTACTGTCAGTCTCTCATTAATTTAACGCTGAAGCAAAGACATTTTTATTAATTTTCCCAACTCGCTTTGGAAATATTTGGGGAGAGGAGGGAAAGCATGACAGTGCATTGTGTTTGACCTATATTAGCTCCTTTACAGGAGCACATTTTCCCAGGTTATAAATGTTTAACAACCCTCTGGAGGCTTTTTTTATTATCATTTAATACCATTACAAGTTGTCCTAATTTTCTTTTCCTCCTTTTTTTCCCTAAGGAAAGTTTCCTTTCATGCATCTCTACTATAAAAACCAGAAGATTTTCATCCACTGTCTTATTCATGCAGCAAATTAAACAAATGTGTTTTTTGGGTTTTTTAAAGATTTTATTGGGGAACAGCATTAGGGAATCGGGGAAGGGGAATAGACAAGTTGCTGTCCTTTTGTTCTTCAGTCTAGTTGTGGAGGATGTTGCTTCACTGGCCCATGTTGGCATTGCGCTCTTCCCGGCTGAGGCAGATCGGTCACCCGGCCATCAGACGGCCGCTCAAGGCTGCTCACATCAGCTGCACGCACAGTAGCTTACAGCAGCCCACTGCAGATCTACTGTAGCCTACGCAGTCGCCGGCAACTCACCACAGCCCAGCTCCAGATCAAGCTGTTGTTCACCATCTTAGCTGTAGAGGGCGCATCACTGGCCCATGTGGGATCCAAAGCGGCAGCCCTGCTCTGCTCAGAGCTTGTGCTCCCAAGCCACTCTTAACCAATGAGGGCTGGCCCTCAACAAATGTTTTTTGAGTCCCTACAAGTTGCTCTCTGCAAGAGCTGAGGATAACACTGTGAACAAAACATATGGTCATGGCTTTGGCCCGGGTGGCTCAACTCCAGGGAACACCATTCACAAAGATACAATGTTCCTGACATGGAGATTACAGACTGATGGAAGCATATTATAAATCATAACCTAATTTACAAATACATTATTACTGTTGCTACAATTATTAGTACTCCTGGTCTGGGAGTGAGAAAACAGAATACTAACCACAAAGAAAAGACTGACAAAATTGGCTAATTTAAATTTTAAAATTCAAAATTGTATTTATTAAAAGGAACTATTCAGAGGTGCAGAGTTTCTGTTAAGGGTGATGCAAAAATTTTAGATATAGATAGTGGTGATGGTTGAAAAAACATTATGAATATGGTTATTGCCACTGATTTGTATCCTTAAAATGGTTAAAATGGGAAATTTTGTTATATAAATTCATATAATGGACTACTATACAACAATGAAAATGAGCAAACCTGTTTGAATCTTACAAACATAATGTTGAACAAAATAAATCTGACATAGTGAGAATGATTCTACTTATATAAAGTAAAATAAATAGACAAAATTAATCTACGGTGCTAAATGTCAGGGTAGTGATTATTTTTGGAGAATGGGGCAGGGGAGTGATTAGAGGGGAGCATAAGGGGGATGCTTAAGTGTTTTCCTTGTATTTGTCCAGATTCAGTGCCAAATAATCATCAAACATGATATTTTATGTGAAAGTGTGGCATTAGACACATTCCATGTTGAAACATCTGAGTATTAACTTTCTTGAATTTCATGATGTATCCTGAAACAACTGCATTGACATTTGCACTGATGCTGCAGAAGCAAGGATAGATAAAACTGCCTGTAACTTAATATGAATCATGGCATTGGCACTAAATATCTAGTTGACATTGTACGAGTATTTCTGTTAAATACTTACAGAAAAGCAAGCCAATTTCCCTTAAAAAATGGCCTCAAATAAACAGCAAAAAATATGGTTACATTTTGACCCATGAGGACACATCTTAAAATTTTCCTGATTGTCTCCAGGAAAAAGTACATGTGATGTTGTAAGCTAAACTAGCAGCTTTTTTTTAAATTGTGGCAAAATATACATAACATTTACTATTTTAATCACTTTCAAGTGCACAGTTCAGTGGTACAAAGTACATTTATAATATTGTGGAAACATCACCACCCTTGATCTCCAGAACATTTTTATTATCCCAAACAGAAACACTGCACCTATTAAACGCTAACTCCCCATTTCCCTTCCCTCCCTTTTACTTTAGCCACTCTAATAGATGCTAGTGGTTTTTACTAAACTTTTCTAATGTTTATCTTTGGCTTCCTCCAAATAAATTGTTAACTATCTACTGGAAGGGATTACACATCTTAGGTGGTCCCACTTATCATTAGAACAGTGTCTATTACACAGAAGTAATAGCAAATATTACTACTCCATCAACTGAAGTTTAAGCAAACAGGTCTCCTGGTGATGTGGGGAAAGTATTTGTAAGTCTTGTAGTATCCACTGAAATCACTCTTTAATCCTCTTTATCAATGTTCTGTACAAATCAATCTCCTACATTTTTTAAAGAGTTGGCTATAGAAAGCAGCTTTCTTCTACATCTTAAGTTCTCACCATTATAGAGATGTCAGTGTCTATGCGGCAGTTCAACAGACATTGATCTTCTCCTACCTCTGCTCTACTGCAGCTACCTGTTCTCATGGCCTCACCCTCAACCTTGTCATCTTAGAATTGATCCATATACTAATATATTTTTTTTACCCATTTTTGCATTTTAGTGACAAACTTTTTTAAAGCATACAATTAAGTAAATTTAAAAAGAAATGCAAACATCACCAAAATCATTTTAGAACATTTCCGTCACCTTTAAAGATTCCTTGTGCCGCTTACAATCAATCACTGCTCCCACCTTCAGCCCTATGTACTTTATACAAATTTTAAACCTCAATAGTCTATTATTTGAATTCAACCTCTATCATTCTAGATCTCTCTTTTCTTCCATTAAACCTATTACAGTAACATCATCACGTCCTCACCCCTCAACTATTGTTCCCCTCAATCTCATCCCCTTTCTTTTCACTTCTTTCTCCACCTAGCCACAGACTTCCTGGTCCACCACTATAACCATTCTCTTGCCAAGACCACCCATGGTCTTTTCTCTCATGCTTTTATTGTATCCCTCTTTTAAAACTACTATCCTGAATCTTTTCAACTGTTATTCCTTCCTTGCTCCTGCCTCAATATTGCAAGAGGAAAAAAATACAACTTTGCAGAATGGTGCATTAGAATTATTGCTTTTGAAGAAATTTCCTCAACCTGATAAAAGGGCATCTATGAAAAACCCACAGATAACACCATGCTTAACAGTAAAAGACTGAAAGCTTTCCCTCTAAGATCAAGAATAAAACAAGAATGCCTATTTTCATCACTGTTATTCTATATTATACTAGGAGGTTCTACCTGGAGCAATTAGGCAAGGGGAAAATAAAAAGACAAACAGATTGAAAAAAGTAAACAACTTTTATTTGAAGATAACATGACATTATATGTATATAGAAAATACTAAGGAGTTGGTTGGAACACAGTGCTCGTAAACACCAAGGTTGACAGTTCGATCCCCACATGGCCCACTGAGATGTGCCTTCCACAACTAGATTGAAACAACTACTTGACTTGGAGTTGATGGGTCCTGAAAAAACACACTGTTCCCCAATAAAAATAAATAAATAAAATAAAGAAAGAAAATACTAAGAAATTCACGCACACAATTAGAGCTAATAAGTTTAGAAAAATGGCAGGCTACAAGAGCAATAACAAAAATCAATTGCATTTCTTAACACCAGCAATGAACAATCCAAACATAAAGAAAACAATTCAATTTACAGAAGCATCAAAAAAAAGTACTTAGTAATAAATGTAACAAAGAAGTATGAAACTTGTACACTGAAACTATAAAACATTGTTGAAAATTAAAGAAAATCTAAATGAATTTAAAGGTATCCCATGTTCATAGATTGGAAGACCTAATATTACTAAGATGGCAATACTCCCAAATTTATCTACAGATTCACTGCAACCCTGATGAAAATTCCAATTGCTTATTTTGCAAAAATTTACCAGTTTATCTTAAAATTCATATAGAAATGCAAGTGACCCAAAGAATCAAAACCACCTTGAAAAGGATAAACAAAATTGAAAGATTCACACTTCTCATTTCAAATCTCACTACCAAGCTATAACAATCAAGACAGTGTGGTATTAGCATAAGAAGAGACATAGATCGTGAAATAAAATTGGGAGTCCAAAAATAAACTCATACATCTATGCTCAATTGATTTCTACAAGGATGCCAGGACCATTCAATGGGAGAAAGCATAGTCATTTCAGTAGTGTTGAGACAACTGGATATCCACATGCGAAAGAATAAATTTGTGCCTCTACTTCATACCACATACAAAAACTTACTCAAGATCAATCAAAGACCTAAGTGTAAGAGCTGGAACTGTAAAACTCTTAGAAGAGAGTATAGGTGTAAATTTTCACGACTTTTAATTAGGCAACAGTTTTCACCTAAAAAACAGATTTGGACATCATCAAAAATTTAAAGCTACTGCATGTTAAAGAACACTATCAAGAATGTATAAGGACAACCTACAGAATGGGAAAAAATATTTGCAAATCACGTATCTGATAAGATCTAGTGTCCAGAATATATAAGGAACTCTAACAACTCAAAAACAAAAACATTAATGACACAATTTAAAATAAGCAAATGAGGGTTTGGATTGTTATTTATCCAAAGAAGCAAGAGAAATGGTCAAGAAGCATATTAACAGATGCTCACCACCAACAATCAGGAAGATGCAAATCAAAACCACGAGTTGCTACTTCATACCTGCTAGGATGACTATAATTTCTTAAATGGAAAATAACAAGTGTTGGTGAGGCTATGGAGAAATTGGAACCCTCATACATTGCTTCTAGAAGGGCAAAATGGTGCAACATAAAGGATATTTGTGGTGATGGAAATTCTATGTCTTTACTGTAGCCATCAATCCTGGCTGTGATGCTGTACTACAGTTTTGCAAACTGTTATTGGGGAAAACTGAGTAAAAGATACACAGGGTCTCTAATGTGCTATTTTTTATGATTACATATGAATCTAGTTATCTCAAAATAAAAATTTTAATTTAATTTTTTTCATGCTATATTATCTTAGTTAAATAAAAAGACTCTTCCAGTCATGTCACCTAGAGATATTTCATTTCACCCATTGCTCTGTTTGGCTGCCAGTCTCTTAGCTCTCTCTTCAGCAATGGTGAGGCGGATACCCTTTCCATGGGGAAGAGATATCCATGGTTTGTTGCCTTTGCCAATAACAAAAATGTTGGAGAACCGGGTGGCAAAACTGTTGCCATTGGTATCTTTCACATGAACTACTTCAAAAGAACCAGGGTGCCTCTCTCTGTTGGTGATCACACCAATTCTTCCCAGGTTAGCACCTCCGGTTACCATGCACAGGTTACCAGTGTCAAACTTGATGAAATCAGTAATTTTGCCAGTCTCCAAATCAATCTGAATGGTGTCATTCACCTTGATGAGGGGATCAGGGTAGCGGATGGTGCGAGCATCATGGGTCACCAGATGTAGGATTCCTTTTGTGCCCACAAAGATCTTTCTCACTTTGCACAACTTGTACTTGGCCTCCTCTGGTGTAATACGATGAACAGCAAAGCGACCCTTGGTGTCATAGATCAGACGGAAGTTCTCTCCGGTCTTGTCGATGCTGATGATGTCCATAAAACCAGCAGGGTAGGTTACATCAGTTCGGACCTTACCATCAACCTTAATGAACCGCTGCATGCAGATCTTCTTTACTTCATCTCCTGTTAGAGCACACTTAAGTCTGTTCCTTAGGAAGATGATGAGAGGGAGACATTCCCTCAGCTTGTGGGGACCAGTGGATGGACGAGGAGCAAACACACCGGTCAATTTATCCAGCATCCAATGCTTTGGAGCCACTACACGCTTCAGGTGCTTCTTGGGACCACGAGCCATGGCTGTGCTGGGTACGGAAAGAATAATTTAATTTTTAAAAACAAAACAAAACAAAAATGCCTTCAACAAGTGGGTCAATTGTCCTTCCATATATCTGGCTAGTTTCAATCATCCACTTGGTTCAAACTCCTTACTACAGCCACCTCCGTCTCAACGGATACCACCACCACCAACAAAAACAACTACCATTTATTGGGCATTTGTTATGTGACAAAGAACTTTATGTACTAACTTTATGTGCTACAAACTTTATATGTATTAACTCATTTAACCCTCATAACAGACAACTTTGAATTCTACTTTTCATAGGAGGTAGCAGCCTCAGAGACCTCTCTTTTTACTTCATGCTCATCCATCCATTCCTCATTTTCTTCCTTTAATAATGAAAAGAAGGGTTCATTCCCCAGATTAAAGGCAATCTTTTCACCAAAGCACTGGATCCTACGTCTCAGGATCCTAACTCTATCCAATATCCTTTCTTGTATTTTGAACCCCTACCTTTCTATTAGCTTCAACCTGTCTGAATTTAGGTATGTTCGTATCTCCCATCATTTAAAAAAAAAAGCAGTTTCCTCCAATCTTACTAAGCATCAACTATTCTCACTCCTCTTTTCGTAGCCACGTTTCTTAAGAATTGTTCATTTACTCTACTTCCTCAGCTTCCATTCAGTTCAAAATCCACTACGACTTGGTTTCGGCTCCTCCTCCATGAAAGCCTGACCTCTTTCCAGCGCTTGACACCACTACTTACCTATTTCTTCATTTAAATTCCCTTCTTCGAGCGTCTCTCACATCACTACCTGTGAGAGTTAAGTGGCACAGGCGACCTATAAAGGGAGTAATAAAGTTATAATAAAGTAGGGCATGCCTATGGCCCAGGAGGCAAAAGTGAGTGGAGACTGCTACTATTGGAGGGGGAGTTGGGAGGTAGGAGGCAGAAAGGGCCACACTGGGCATTAAAACAAAATGACAGGAACTTTCACCCTCACTTTCACCCTTTCTTCCCCAGCCTTTTGGGTTATGGCCAAGTTAATAGGCGGCTGGGCCAAACCCCCGCAGCGACAAGCGCGAGCTATACCGGTGATGCGACACGGGGCGGAGGCGGAGAAGGAGTTCTTTTGTTCGCCGGCGGAAAACGAGAGTCGGAAGGCGGTTGTAGCTCGGCACCGGACCACTAGACGCTGACGCGTGCGTGCGTGGTGCGTGCGTAGCGGCGTTTCCGGCCCCCGGGGAGGCGCGAGCCGTCTCTTGTAGTTCCCCTCCTCGGTGTGTGAAGTCCTGCGGCTACTCCAGGCTAGAACCACCGCGGGTCTAGGCGGAGCCCGAGATCGGCGCGGGATACCCTGGAGACGGGCAGGTTAAGGACTGACCGAAGACTCCGCCCGCCCCTGGCGCAAGGAGAGCGGGACCCTTGGGCCGCTGAGTCCTTAGCGTCCTGCGTCCCCTGCCCTGCCTCTGGCCTGCGGCGTTAAAAAAAAATGGTTGGGAGGATGGAAATTAAGATTAAATAGGTTTCTCTGCGGATCCAGTGCCGTTAAACCCTGAGAACCCACACTTTTTTTAAAAATGAAGAAATTAAGGCTTAAGGAGCTAGAGAGTCGCCTGCAACAAGTGGATGGATTTGAAAAGCCCAAGCTACTTCTAGAACAGTATCCGACCAGGCCGCACATTGCAGGTAGGGCGGCTGGTGACCACGCCCCTGCTTCGCGGGCTAGTCCTGTCTACTCCATAATGAAATTAGAACAGTTATTGAGATACAAAGAACGTCTAAAGGAAATCTGCTGTGAGATTACGTATCACGTTAGGGAGGACTTCCTTGACAACACAGCTAAAGACGTCTCCCACTTAGGCACACACTTATATTGCACTGTTTGGTGGTTTTTGCATACCCCTTAACACTGTCAGGTGTCTCTTTAATCTGTTTGTTTCTATTATAACACTATAAACAAGAATTCGTTGGTCTTGTTCACACAATTCCAAGTGCCTGGAAGAATTACTAGTTAGGAGCTCGGTAAATATTTGCTAAATAAGAATCACTTTCTTATTTCAAGAAATTGCCAGCACAAGGATTCCTATGATATACTCTGCCCTAAAAATGAATACTAGAATTGGTAATTGAAGAACTGAGTTTAACAAATCCAGAATAGGTGCTATAAAAGATAAGGATGCATTTCAATTTTAACAAATGATCTGAGAATCAGCAATGTTGCTTGATGCAAGAGACAAATACTAGGAGAGAATACAGGAAAAACCATTCATATTTAATAAACATATTACCAAAATATTGAAGAGTCTAAGGAAATGTACTTGTTGACAACACCTGCAAGGAGGAATCCCATCCAGTTCCAACGTAGTTCTGTTTTGAAGCTGCTAATGAAAGTCAAGGAAAATATATGCATACCTGCACTTAACTCCAACATATTGTCATAATTCCAACCAAAAGCTGGCACAAAACTGGGTTAAGACAAGTTCTCTCAATTTAGATAATGACTTCTTTAATGCCTTCTGGCTGTAGGGTTTCTTATTGGAATCCAACTTTTTAAAACAATTAGTTTCACACCCAATGTGTAACATGCATGTAGGTGTGCTAATTCTTTGAGATACCATCTTGAAAGTCAGACCTGCAGCAATAATCAGGACGGTGCAGTCAGCCTGAGATGTCCCTATAATTGTGTTTTTGATAAAAACCTCTGGATCCTGGGGCATCAGTGATGACCAGTAATCCTTGCTGGGTTCATATATCCCCACAAGGAGAAATCAGTGGTCTTACTCATGCTTAACACTTCAGTATATCCCCATTGTGTATTTGAAAGAGCCCTTAATCTCAGGCAGCTCCTGCTCTGTTCCTCAATAGTTCTCTAATCAGGCCTCATTAGGTTATATGTGTCCATAGATCATAAATGTATGTGTCTAAAGGCTATTATTGTGGATGTAGGTCTTTTCCTTTTCCATTCTAGCTTAAACTTAGGGTACCTGTGTTCTGATGACAAATTGTTGCAAAAAAGTACTGTACCATTTTAATATTAATGCTTTGTTTGATATTAGTGGTTCCCAGACTTACTGATTCACAGATCAGTAAAATTTCAAAATAATTTTGGAGACTAATGTAGGGTTGCCAAGTTTATATATTGATAAGGAAAGATATTTTTAAAACCTGCTTTACCATCCTTTCATAAGTATTTCAATATCAAAGAACTGATATATGTATGTATGGCAATGTTTTGAACAGTTTAAGGAAAAATAAAACATTTTGATCGTATCTTTCTCATTTTACCTCGAAGTTTTGTCATTCTTGGCATTGTCAGCAGAGACTGGTTTTGGGGAACCACTGGTATCTGTTACTGTATTTTGTGGGGCCTCTTACTTACTACATACCAAGTTATAATGCCTTCTGTTTTTTAATTATCTGGAACACCATTTGGAAAAGGACTAAATAATGCAAGACAAGAAATTGTTTTAGAATCATTTGCACAAATTGGATTTTGGTCATAAACTGACTTATTCTCTAATATGTTTTTTTGATCTTTTAGCATGTATGCTCTATACAATTCACAATACATATGATGACATTGAAAATAAAGTGGTTGCAGATCTAGGATGCGGTTGTGGAGTGCTTAGCATCGGAACTGCAATGTTAGGAGCAGGGTAAGTGATCCAATATATACTATTTGCGTATGGGGTGGCTTTAATAAGAAGGATAAATAGGATTAACTGATTATATTTATGGGATTCTACAAGTATGAGGGGAGGGGAGCAAGAGTCTCATAATGAGTACATTTTGAATGAGCAGAACATCACAACAAACTAAAAAACAAAATGGTAAGAGCAGCAGTCAGATACCTCCTTTTTATCCAAACCTGAGTTTCCAACCCCTGCCAGGTTGGGAAATCATGATGTTGAAAGGTAGCACTCAGTCTTTGCCTATTGGGTTAAAAAGGTATATGATTTTTATTATATTGTTTTGACTTGGGAGCTATAAATAGTTACACTGTGTTTTATGTTTATAGGTTATGTGTTGGATTTGACATAGATGAAGATGCATTGGAAATATTTAATAAGAATGTGGAAGAATTTGAGTTAACAAATGTTGACATGGTTCAATGTGATGTGTGCTTATTATCTAACAGACTATCCAAGTCATTTGATACAGTAATTATGAATCCTCCCTTTGGGACCAAAAATAATAAAGGTTAGTATGAAGAATAAGGTGTACTGGTGTATTTGTAGAAAAGCAAGTTTTGTTAATTTTTTTTTTCAGTTACAGTTGACATTCAATATTATTTGATATTAGTTTCAGGTGTACAGCGTAGTGGTTAGACATTTATATAATATATGCAATGATCCCCCAATTAGTCTAATACCCACCTGGCATTATACATAGTTGTTGCAACACTACTGATTATATTCTCTATGCTGTAGAAGAAAAACAAGTTTTTAAAACCATTTTCTCATTGTTTAGGTTAAGCGATTTTATCACTATACATTAAATACACCAATCTCTTACCTGTATAGTTATTACAATTTCAATTTCAACTTGTTTAATACATGAATAGGGAACTAAATTTTCAGTCTTTGTTTTTACAAATTTTTACTAAATGAATAGTGTTTTTATTCATTTATTTATATTCCATCTGCTTTCAATAATGATTTTAACCCTTATGAATGATTATGAATCCTGTAAAGGATTTATACTTTTAGAACCTCTTTTTAACACCTTAACACACTAGAGTTTCAACATGTGTCCATTACTAACAGTGAGTCACTGTGGCTATTGATTTTGTGTGTATGCTGTGGGCAGGGAGGGTAGGAAGTAAGAGGAAAAGACATGCAGTTTTAAAAAGTCCTCACTTCCACACACAACCCATTCTGATTACTACTTTATCTGGTCCCTTCTCCCCCCTTTGAAAGTCGTTTAGAATATAATACTAAATTTTTTACTTCAACCTTATTTAACAGTATAATTCTAGTTTTAATCTGTCAACTTTGAGATATTTAGGTATTTTACTTATTTGTACTTTTTGCAGAATTTGAAGTGGCTATTTTGGTATTTATTGATACCTGGTATTCATTTGATAATAGGCATATAATATACATAGGAACTTTTCCTACTCTTAACAGGGACAGATATGGCATTTCTGAAGACTGCTTTGGAAATGGCAAGAACAGCAGTATATTCTCTCCACAAATCCTCAACTAGAGAGGTAAGTTCAAATCATCATGATATTCTGTCATTTATTTTTAAATTCATGCCAGTGTTTTAAGGATTTGCTGTGAATACTAAGTACCAGAGTATCTATTTCTCCTGACCTTTTTTAACATCTGGCACTCAGAAACTGAATTTTCCCTTCAGCTAACATTTGTGATCAGCTTTCTTCCAGCTCATATCATTTCTTTTGTCAAAGATTTGTTTAGGCAGCAATTGTTACTAGGAAAGAGACTATAATTCAGGAGTAGAGAAGTATGGTATAATTAGGATTACAATATGTCCTGTTTGCCTGGTAAGTCGTGGTTGATGCCTATAGTCCCAGTGTCCCTGTGGCCTGGTGCACATAAAGGGGGCAGGAAGGCCTGGTTTTTAAGAACACTGAGCCTGGAGCTAAACTGATCTGAATTTAGAACCCACCTCTTCTATTATTCTTCTTGCCAGCATATAACACATGGGAGGTGTGTGTATAAGATTTAGTCCAGAAAATTTGGGGAGGGAGTGGTACATTTTTTGGGTGTCAGTATAACATGGTGATCAAGAACATAGACTATAGAGCCAGACTTCTAGGTTCAGATCCAAACTGCTGCTTCCCAGTTGTGTTATCTTGGTCGAGGTACTTGAGTTCAGTTTCATCACCTATACCGTACTCACCTGTACTCTGGTAGTATAAGGAACTAAGAGTACCTTGTACTTTGACAGTTATGATAATTAAATGATTAACATTTACAGAGCACTTAGAATAGTATCTGGCATATGTAATTGCTCTGTTAACTATTATTACTTTAAATCATACATGTATTAAGAGATTTTAAAGTAGTTTTATAGGAAAAAATATTTTGTGTAAATAGTATGTACTAGAATCCAGTTGGAAACAATTCTGAAAATACAGTAATCTAATCACCCTTTAAAACTATAAAATAACATGGCTAAAAAATGTATACTGCTAACAATGAGTACATGTAGATAAGCAGCAGAACAGAACAGAACTTTACTGGTAAATAAATCCCCATTTGATATGTGGACGCAAACACCAGTAATTATTGGTATCTAAAAATCTTGTCTTGAGGAGGTCCCCAAGACCATCCTTGGGTTTGATGATTCTCAAGGAAGTCTCACAGGACTCAGCAGAGTCATACTCTTGGCTATGATTTATTACAGCTGAAGGATAGAGAGCAATATCAGCAAAGGGAAAAGGTGTAAAGGTCAAAGTCCAGGGGAAACCAGGTACAAGCTTCCAGAGTTCCCTCCCAGTGAAGTCATACATGATGCACTTGATTTTCCCAGCAGCAAATTTTTGTGACAAGCATGTGAAATGCTGTCAATCAGCGAAGCTTGTTAGAGACTCGGTGCCCAACATTTTTATTAGGGATTGATCATATAGGCACTCCCCCATGCCCAGCACATACCCAAATTCTGAACTTCCAGTAGCAAAACAGGTATTCAGCATAAACAGTCTAAGTGTAAGCACAGTATGCCACTCTTATCAATTAAGGGGATAGGGAGTGAAAATCCTCGCAAAGTCTGTTTCCATACTCCAGCCATGGGCCAACCTTAGATGCAGGCCTTTCTAAGGTAAGCAGTCAGGCCTGCTATAAACTCTTTTCTGCACAGCTTGGCATCATATAAATTTTGTTACTCATATACAGTTCGTGCAGACAGAGTAACATATGCCAGTAAAAAACGCAATTAAGCAGCAAAGTCTAATCTGAATGAACTATAACTATTTAGCAAGGAACTCCCTTTCCCTTCTTTGTTGTTTGGTATTACCATATTCCACCATTAGAAGGCAGCATTATCATCATTGCCTTGGCTGGCTTAATAGTTGGATTTTTTTTTTTTTAATTGGGGGAATTGGGGGAAGGGGAACAGACAAGTTGCTGTCGTCTTGTTCTTCAATCTATTTATGGAGGATGTTGCTTCACTGGCCCAAGTTGGCACCATCATTGTGCTCTTCTCTGGCGAGGCAGATCAGTTGCCGGCTTCTGGACGGCCGCTCACTGCGGCTGCTGGCCGCTCACGCTGGCTGCTGGCCACACAGGCTGGCTGCTTGCCACACACGGTAGCCCATGGATTCTACCGCTCACTGCGGCTGCTGGCCGCTCACGCTGGCTGCTGGCTACACACGGTAGCCCATGGCAACCCACTGCCACAGGGGCTGCAGCCTACGCCGTCGCCGGCGACTCACGGCAGCCCAGCTCCAGGTTGAGCTGTTGTTCAGCATCTTAGCTGTGGAGGGCAGTATCACTGGCCCTCATATGTGGGATCCGAACCGGGGCCCTCTGGCATCCCAAGTGAGTTCTTAACCATCGCGCCACTCGGCCGGCCCAATAGTTGGATTTTAAGCCAACTATTTCATTAAATGCATTTTAATTTAGATAGTGATTATTTCCATTTGCACAGTAACTAAAGAAATTAATCTGGTATATATTATGCGTACATGAAAGAGGTATGATGGAGAGTGAACTTCTAACATAAGATAGTCCCAATTTTATGCTGTAGCTCTATCTGCTGTAAGTTTGTAGTAATTTTGGTTAAGTATTCTATATAATTATAACATCATCACTGAAGCTTACCCCAGACCCCTTAACTGTAGACCCTTGTCTTTTAAAAATGCTTATAGGTACATTTGTATGGAATAATTTTTGATAGAAATATTTAGGTAAAATGTAAGTGTGTCCTGGCAGATATGCTAATAATTAGCTATGTGCCTCTCAAAGCTGTTGCCATATCTTTCTTCATTAGGCATTGTGAGAATTTAGTTCTTTGCTCATAGTTAAGCAAAGTAGATAAGCCAGGCACTGTTCTTTCAGTGTATATCCCAAGATTACCCCATTCATTCTTTGACATCTCTGCCAGAATTAACCACATTCCATTGTATAATCTTATGTCTAAAAATTCTCACTAACTTTAGGGCTTACTAACCTTCGGGCTTAAATAGCTAAGAAATTGCATAATTTATTTCTTACAAATTTGTCAGAGATCTTAAGATTCCACTAAATTACATTATTTGCATTGAAGTCTGTATCCTTACACAGAAACAGGTCTCAAACTACAGGGAAAATGTGCCCCAAACTGGGATTATTTATTAAATTCAAGAAAAAATTATAAGCATCAACATATTGTCAGTATTATTTATAATAGAAATATTTAACCCTAAAATTTAGAGAAAGTTAAGTAGTTTATCAATCAACTTGATGCCTTACGTATTATGAACATTACCAACATGAACAAAATGCTTGTAATATGAAATACTGGTATCTCTATTATAGTATTTGTAGAAAATTATGCACGTAACTTATTTAGGGGAATATGGGTAACTTTTTTCCCATTCCTGTTAATGTTGGAATATTGTATATTTTAAATTTATAAAGCAATTTTTATAACAAATAACCAAAAACTTTATGAAGGGGTTCAAGAATTTTAGGCCTATAGTTAACATTTATTACTTACTGTGTGCCAAGACAGTTCAAAGCACTTTTCATATTCCACAACAATCTGATGAGATACCATTATTATCCTACTAGATGAGGAAACTGAAGCACAGAATTAGTAATTAGCACAGGGTTACATAGATAAGTAAATAACAGAGCTATATAGTTCAAATGCAGGCTGTCTGGTTCTAGAGACCATGTTCTTAACTACTATACCATACTGCCACTGAACTGCCTGCCCACGGACAGAGATCTGTTGAATGGTTTCCAGGATAGTTATATATACTGATGAAATGATGCTGCAGAAATCATGAGTACATTGTGCACAATGATGTATTTCTGAAAAAAAAGATAGCTTTGTTACTTGGACTTACGTAATTTTGCCCAAAAGGTTAAATACAGAGGGTGCCAAAAAAATGTATACACATTTTAAGAAAGGAAAAAACTATTAAAACTGGAATACTCAATATATACCGATAATAGGGCTGCCGAGTGGCGCATTGGTTAAGAGTTGGCTTGGGACGCCAGAGGGCCCCGTTTCGGATCCCACATGAGGGCCAGTGACACTGCCCTCTACAGCTAAGATGCTGAACAACAGCTCAACTTGGAGCTGGGGTGCCGCCGGCGTCGGTGTAGGTTGCAGCCCCTGCTGCAGTGGGTTGCCATGGGCTACCATATGTAGCCAGCAGCCGCCATGAGCAGCCGTCCAGAAGCCAGCGACTGATCTGCCTCGCCCAGGAAGAGTGCAATGATGGTGCCAACTTGGGCCAGTGAAGCAGCATCCTCCACAACTAGACTGAAGAACAAAACGACAGCAACTTGGCTGTTCCCCTTCGTCCAATTCCCCAGCAGTTCCCATCCCCCAATTCCCTAATAAAAATCTTTAAAAGAAAAAATATATATATATATATATACTGATAACAAAAGATGCACACGTGTATACATTTTTTGGCACCCCTGGTATATTGAAATGGCTTAATTTCTTTTATTTTCTAACTAGTTAAAAAAAAATGTAAGGGTCTAAATTCTAATGAAATTTTTAAAGCTTGAAAACAGTATCAATTAGTAAAAAGCAATTTTTAAAAATTTAAAAATCAGCTCACATTAACATGTTACTTATGTTCAGCACATTCAAAAGAAAGCTGAAGAATGGAAAATCAAGATAGATGTTATTGCAGGTAAGACAATTTTCTCATAAAACAAATCCTAATTAAGAAAGCTAACATGAATTTAGCCGAACCAGCATTTTTATACAGATGCTGAGAAAAAATACTGTAAATCACGTTTTTCAGTGTAGCAAAATGACATGGTTGATAATGGGTAGCAAATGGAGTTAGAGGTAGTGTATCAGTGTATGCCTACGACTGTCCCAATTTGTGCATTTTACTGAAAATTTCTAAGTATTTGGTCATTCCAGGGTTGGACAGAACCCTGTATTGCTTCAGTGACTGAAGAGCTTGGGCTTCGAGTTGGTCAGACCTCAGTTTGAAATCCATTCATGGAAAATACCACCAGATTATTCCTGGAGTCCCTATTTCAATTTTCTAATTGCCCCTGAAATCAATAACATGAAGCTTTCTTTTTTTTTAGGAGATATAGTCATCCACACTGTGTCATGCTTGATTCATTTTTATTAGTGAATTTACAAACATCAAAATGGGGAAAGCATACAACTAGAAGCTAACTAATCCAAATAATTCTGAAAAGCCTGAAATAAGAGTACGTACATACAATAAGGGGGAAATGTGTTTTACACAATAAACTATGGATTAGCACTATGGTGTTAACCACATAACTAGATCTTTTACTGTTCATTATAATTAGTAATGTGTAAAAGGTCAGTCTTCCTATTATATTCAGTAGTGTCATTCTTTACTTAAGGTATTATATGCAACGTGTAGTACCCTAGAATAGTTTAGTAGTATACCAAACCATGGCCTTGCTACTTCAAATGTGGCCTTAGATCATCAGCATTGACATCCCTTGGAAATGTTAGACTTGCAGAATTTCAGGCTCCCCCCATGCCTACTGAATTATCATCTGCACCTCAACAAGATTTGACTTGAAGGTGATTCGACTGCACATTAAAATTTGAGACCTGTGACTCAGAATTTATGTTGTAAAATATGAAGAGTAGACAGACTCATTGTCATCCCTTTAAAATGGTTAGTAGTAAGTTTGGAGAACCTACATTATTTAGAATATGAAAAATAGGTTTTCATTTGAGAGCTTAGTAGGAAAAGTAATTATCTACTTACTACCATTACTAAAATCGACGACAAAATTTTTAAGTAAACATAGTTATGAAATTGCTGGTTATAGATTAGGAAATTAAAACTAGGAAGGTACTATCATTTTCATACGATATACTTTTTTATCCACTTGTTATCTTTCTAAACTCTTCCCCATAACCTCAAATTTTGGTATAAAAGATCAAAACAGCAGAAATGGCAGTCTCAGTTTGCCATGGCTAATCTTGGGAGTACATCAAGTCAGCCCTTGAATACCAAGTTAAAGTGACGGGTCTAAAATGTTTGGTTTACCAGCATTTAGTGCTTTCTTAATTTGTGGTTTTTTTAGTCAAGGGTGGTAAATGCTTGGAAATGTAATTTTTATCTACTTAGACGGCTTTTGTTTTATAGAGCTGCGATATGACCTGCCAGCATCATACAAATTTCATAAAAAGAAATCAGTAAGTCTCCTGAAGTTTACAATAAGTAATTATTTCTAATGTTATTAAGTTGCCCAAGTAAACACAGACAGCCAGCCTAAGAGACAGATTATGGGACGGGTCTAATAACCAACAGCCAATACTCTGGTTTAAGGTAAATTCTTTCTCAAATGCTTTGGGTAGAAAAAAAATAACTAAGTTTTTGCTCTTTTTATATAGTATATATTTTATTAGTTTGTACTAATACATTCTCATATTACAAAGGCAATTTAGTACAAGAATCTTTCTTTTCATTTTGAATCATCTGAAATAACACAAACAGAACTATACATTTTTTAAAAAAATGCTTATTTGGATAACAAAAAAAGACAAAGTAAACGACAAAAATTTTCCTCTCTTACAGGTGGACATTGAAGTAGACCTAATTCGGTTTTCTTTTTAAAAGCTTCCAAAGACAAAAGCGGCTGAAAACCTAATTAAAATGAATAAAAAAATGTGTTTACTAAACTACTCGTCTCCAGCACCATTTTCTGTTTTCTGCTGTTTTGATGCAGGTTCTTCTTTGTCTGTTTCTTCTCTTGCTCTTTTTACAGCTCCTATACAATAACAGAATTAATTTTTGTTAAGTTCACTGTAAGCCTTACTCTATTATTGAGCATAATTCATAATTACTGATAAGAAAAGGCTTTTCCTTTAGTACAGACCTTCTGCTCTCTAAACTTATCTCCCAAACATCCTTGTTTTCCACTTATAAAACAGCATAACAAAGGTAAACAGCAATCCGGGAATATCACTCATATAGAAGTTGAAAAACAACATCACTGTTCTCTCCCACAAATAATTTCTCTTCAAAGTACCAAAGAACTTGGAAAAACTTACCAGATGCACCATTTTCATCACGTTCATCATCACTATCAAATTTAGTTTTCTTGCCCTGAAATGGTACTTTTCCTTTAGCAGACCCAGTCTGGGCAGCTTTATTTCCCTTTCCTTTTCCTTTAAATCTGCGACCTGCAGACATAATTTGAGAAATCAGTAAAGAAATATTTCAAATCTCTTGTCAATATCTTTGAACACAATTTGTACTCAAGCAAGTGAGTTAAAATAACCAAACTATCAGAGAAAAATCAGAACTGACCTTTTGACTTCCATTTGTTTAGAGATTCCTGTTGATCTTCTATGATTTTTTTCAATGCTTCTTTTTCTGTATCTCCATCTAGTACTTCCCACGTCACTTCTTTGTTCCTTAATTGTAGGTTACCATTATTTGCATCTTTGGCTTTATCCAGTGCTTCTTTAGCTTTTTCTTTAAATAGAATTATTCCCTATACCAAAGAAAATAAAAGTAACACCTTTAAGTTTTTTTAATCCCACAGTTAATTCCTTCAAAGTAATTTTTCCTACCCTGCAAATCTTCCATGCCATACCCAGGTCCAATGAATTTTACTAAACATCAGGAAGTTACTACAAAACTTGCAGTCACTGACACCAACAATTATTCACAGCACAACTAAGAAAATACCAGATAAAGCACACATCGAGTGACAGCCATAACAAATGGACAAATAAATGATCAAATAGAAACTATTTTCATAAACAGTAATAAAATTTTAGTAATTATACTAAAAGATAAATTTCTATGGATTTTAAAACATTGCTAAAAAGTACATGAATGTTTCCAAACCTCTTTTGCTCCTCTAACAAAGTCTATCCATTTTATTTCACCATGATTAGAGAAAAGGATGTGCAAATCTTCTCTACACGTCTGATCATCTAAGTCCCCCGAAAATTTCAGCAAGCAGCCAATCTTTTCTTCTAGAGATTTCTATGAAAATATACAAGTCAAAAGTTTTTCAAAAGCAACCACAAATCAAATGGCTTATACCATCTATACCAACACAATTAAAAGGCTAGAAATGCTATTTTGAAGCAGTTTAATGGTACATTTCCTTTGTCATCCTTTGTTCTACAATGGCTTTGGATTTAACCTATTTCTCCAAGTAATATTTAATTAGATATATATCTATATATTAGTTATATAAATCTGGTTATTAAATTATCTCTGGATAAAGAATAATTTTAGGCAATATTTGGGGTATTTATTTAGTACAATGACAACTACAGACTTGCTTATATATTTTCTGTAAAAAGCCCTCAGACTTTATTGTCATAACTGTGAGCTACAGATTTCTTAGATCCTGGTAACATATACTTACCATTTCAGCATTTTCTGCTAACTTTTGTTTTTCTTCTTGCTCTCTACAAATAAAAATGTAATTAGAATGTTTCCATATACTATGTAAGAAAATTAAATCCTGATAAAGTTAACCTTGATCACGATCACTAAACTATTTAGTAACCAAAGCCAGTCCTTAGGTTTTGTGTGTCCAATGCTAGAGAGCAATATGGCCCCCAGATTATCAAGGCAGTTTAAGACGTCCATGTTTCACTAGCAAAAGAAAGACCTATTGCTACTCATTTCAGATCTTGTCATCAGCTCCACTTCCCGGAACCAGGATCTACCCTTGTCAAAGTTTTAAGGAATTAAAAAGTTTATGATTAGCTCAGGATACTCACTGTTTAGCTCGCAATTTAGCTTCCACTTTATTTTGCTTTCTTTCTTCATTTTTTTTTGCAAAGTAATCTTCCCTAAAGGACACAAAATAAAGAGATTAAATTCATGAGAACAAAGATTTTAAATTATTTTCAATGATTTAAAACATGGTATAAGGAATGTTACATTTTGTATCAACATAATTGCCTAAAAATTCAAAAAATGCCAAGGAAATTACTTCTTTTAAATAACAGCTTTACTAAGAAATAATTCATATGCCATAAATTAAAATTCACCATTTTAAAGTGTACAATGTTTTTTTTAACATACTCGTATTTTACAACTTTCACTATTATCTAATTTCAGAACATTTTCATGATGCTTGCCCCCAAAAGAAACCCCATATCCATTAACAATCTAACTGGTTTTATCATTCATGTATAGAAAAAAAGTAGTTATGTGAAATACTTGAATGATTCATAGTTTTCTATACTGTTCATTTCACAAAAGGAGAAATTTTGAAAATACCTGAGACCCAAGAATAAGAGCAATTATGAAAATCACATGTTAAAAAATACTTTTGGGCCGGCTGAGTGGCTCAGTTGGTTAAGAGCTCGCTCAAGAGTGCGAGCACTGAGCAACAGCCGTTCGATGCCCGGCCTGAGCTAAGCTGCTGCTGAACTGCCAAAGGGGGCAGGATGGCTCAGCTAAAAAAAAAAAATACACTTTTGAGGATTTTAACACAGGATCATCACAGTGTGTCTCTCAGTCCACTAGGTTTAGTACATAGCGTTTAGAAGATTGTAATGCAAAAGCAGGGACTATGGTCCTACAGCTAACTTTATCATGAAAATGCTCTGGTTTGTCCTAATTTTTAGACACATATTAAAGAATGTGATCCAAATCCTTATTAAGTAATCCTTTGTGTTGTATAAAAATACAGATCTACATCAGACTATAATAAGGATAAAAATTGTAGTGATTTACTCTCTAGTCACACCAACAACCCAAATTTTAGTATCCAGCCTGATTGTAAATTTTAGATGCAAAATAAATACTAAAACTTAGCCTCCTTATTAATTGTTAACAGAGAAAGGGTACTAATAAATACTTCCTTATAATCTCAAAGGACTAATAGTTTCCACTAAGCAAATTTCAAGCATTTCTCAAAGGATACCTCTGGATACAAAAAACACTGTCCTTATAGCAAACGGTATCCATGCTCCTTACCCCAGTGTGTCAATTCCATATAACTAAGTGGCCAGAAGAAACATCAGCAAAGACTTACTTGAAAAGTATTAGTAAATCTGTGTCTTTGTACTTCTGGCCAGGGGTCTCAACAAACTTCTTAGCAGATTCAATGCTATCAAACACAGCAAATATTGATCCCTTTTAAAAGAAAATATATAAATTTCAAGTTATGTCCCATATATTTGTAACTGGAAAGTCTGTAACATCATGCAGCCATACCTTAAATGCTTTGTGCAATGTTCTTCTCATCTGAATATTTAGTACTTGCCCTTTATCTTCTAGCCACTCTTTTATGTCATCAAGGGTTGCATCAGTTGGGAAGCCTTTCTGTAAAGAGTTGGAAGAAACGTACAAATCAGGAAAACAATTTGCCAGAAATTCTGATTCATTTTGTCTTGAAATGAAGGCAGGATATGATACACAATTTTGTCTATCTCACTCTCCCTCTGTGGCTCTTAGATGTTTAACAACTCTGGTTAAGAGCCATTGTTCTCCAGTGCAATCAAGGTGAGTCATTATCTGGGATTCACTTCAAAATAATCGTTAGGACAGAGATAAAACAAGACTAATCACATGTTAATAGCTGTTGAAGTTTGATAATGTACAGTATATATTCAATCTATTATTATATGTCTGAAATATTGAATAAAAAAGCTACTTAAAAAAATTAGTATGCTAAAGAAAATTACTATCAAGTTCAGCTGTTGATAAATAAGAACAGTTGATATGCACTGGGTGCTTAGAAAATGCCAAAGATTTTGTTCAGTGATGTATGGTTTTTCATTTAATTCTCACAACAGTTCTATAAGGTAAAAAAATATTATCCCCGTTTATGAAGATAAGGCTCAGAGCAGTGAAGATTGCCCAAGAATTATATATACTAAGTGGTGAAGCTATGATTCTTGTGGCCTTTTTCTTACCCACTCTACTATATGTTCTTTCTAAATAAATGTAAGATATAATTAAATGTATTAAAGGCCCACTTACAATATAAACAGATCTGTTTTTCACATCATTTTTATACTCATCAGTCACTTCAGGGAGGGGTTTGTTTGGAGATCTTCTAATTTTAGTTTTATCTTCACTTATTTCCATGAGTTCTGCCTTTGATTTGCTTAATGCTTCTACTATTACATTAAAGTCTGTTGTTAGACGGTTTAACCTGAAGAACATACATAAAAGCATTTTAAGACTTGGTAGTAACACCTGTGAACAGAAAAATCTAAAGATGACTTTTAAAAGGTTTTTACCTATTGAATTTTATCATTATTTCCAAAGGTACCCAACCTTCATCCAGTTTGATCTGTTCCTTTAAAAATTTGTCCCGTGGCAGATTGAAGTCACCAAAATAATACTGCAAGATAATTACAATATATTTCAGAGCATTGTATAATACTGACTCCAATCCTGGAGTTTATTTTTATTACCATTACATCACCAAGTTCTATTCTTTAAAAATACATGTTATAATTTAAGAAGCAATAAATATTTTCTCCTAAATACACTATAATGAAATATAATACAAATTAACAAAAATATAAAACTAAGAATTGATTACTAAAAGAATGTAATTAACAGATAAGCCAATAGACTAGAAAGCCTTACAATAAATACATACTTAAGGATTTAATATATGAAAAACCTTGTTTCA